AACAAATGTCTATTAATTGATCTTTAACGAATGCAGTGTTTTAGTCAGGACACAACTGTCAATTCATTTTTGGAAATTGTCTAAACAGTCACTATTGTTCTTAAAAGACTTGTACAAATTGCCACGAAGAAATCTATAAATAGCCTACTGTGCTGTTAGAAAATTTACACCATTTTCATTGCACTCTCTGCATGGAATCTCATTTCCCCTTCTTATTTGATATTGTTCTTCGAAGTATAAAACACTTCATTGAATTCGTTGAAACTCTTATTGATTGTTGCGTTGTTTTCGTTGGAGAAGAAATTCGTTCTATATTAAGAGACGATTGTTGAACGCCTTTAAGCACCAAAGAAGGGAGCAAATTCATTTTTAAGGAAACTTCATAAAGTCAATGGGATCGAATTAACATCTTGATCTTGTTAGTCAGCCATTTACGTTGTTCAAATCCATTCTAGTAAATCTGCAAGTGTAAGTATCTTCAGATTGTTCAAATGAGGAAATTATACTCCAAAGTCCATAATCAACATTATCTTCATGGGTTCCGTACTTATTTCTCAATCCATCTGATCTGATATGTTCCAAATACGCTGTTTAATTGAATACAGGTAGAATAATTGGAAGGCTTGCTACTCAGCACTTAGAATATGTTTGAGCCACATTTTCTTTTTAAAATATATTTTGGAATAGTGATTTAATGAAGAATGTGTGATTAAAAAATAAGGAAAAGTTTTGTATTTACGTGTAATATTATTTTATAGAAAAACGTGTGGTTGAAAAGAATATAGGGAAAAATGAACTTCGTAAATAATGGGGATCAAACAAAGGCTTAATGGGGAGCATCGTCGCCTTAGATCCACATAGAAAGGATTCCAAACCAATGCATCTTATTCCTTCTGCATATCTCACGACAAATTTGAGAAGCTCGAAAATTTTCAAGGAAACTCACGGAATTCATCAATGGCGCAAGCCAAATTTGCAGTGTAAGTACAAACTGCACCTGTTGGAACATTAAGACAACTACAACCTTGGCTTGCAACTCTGTCTGGTGCTTCAATCGAGTTGCGGGCTTTTAGTCCCTTATTTTTTGCTTTTTCTTTCTGTTTTGGCATGCATTCGATTACTTCATTATTAACAAGTGAATCATGTAATTAACTCCCTGTTTGAGCCATATTTTCAAGGAAGAAAGTAGAAAAATTTTGACCGTTATTTTGAAACGCGGGTCCCACTTAAGAGAGATGAAGTCAAATATAATGGCTGAAATTGATCTCCAAAGTCGGAATTCTCATTTTTTGTGGCTGAAAATATGGCTCAAAAAAGGGCTCAATTTCATATTTATAAACACTCATTACAAAAGATCCATAAATAATATTCACTTATAAATTGCTCATTTCTATCTATTTATAATTTAAACTGTTTATAAACACTTCTCAGACATTTACAAATAGCATTTTGAGATGTCTCTAATTAGTGAGCTTATGTTTGCGATTACTGTCTTTCTAAATATAAATAATGGAACGAAAAACTAAAAGTTGACTGTTAACTTCAAAAGAAGGTTGAGTTCACAGGGTTCTGGGTAAGAAGGGGAAGGGAGCAGGAAGATCTACCTCTAAGGTTACAAATTTACTTTGAAGTGCAAAAAAAGGGCTTTCTAAACAAAAGACTTAATTTGTAAGCTATTTCCACTTTGACTATGAGAAAAACGCTCTTTGAAAAATTTCCGGATAAAAGCCGAGAAGAGAATTTCATCTCACACGACTCCTAAGTGATAAAAGAAAGAAAAGATCATCTGCCCAAAGATGGAAGAATCAATAACAAGAAAGAGAATAAACCAAAGGCTGTGAAAAGCTATTTCATTCATTAACAAGCACAATTAAACACATTCATGGAGTGTCTCGTGGACATGCAGATATGCAACCGCAAAATATGAACAAATAAACTTGTTCAGCTATGAAGGTTCGTTATGCACACACCAGCATCCAGGTTTTGCTGCTTCTTCCATATTCTTCCTGTAACTCTAAGCTTAAGCTCCTTCCTCTCTCCCCCGGAAAAGAACAGTGCCATGTTTCTTTGGATAATAAGACCATCATGACTGTCTCTGACCTTTCGATGGCTATCTCGAATGCTACGTGGGCTACCCTCCCATACGAGCTTTCTACCATTTGCTCCAACTTCTAAACTGTAACTGTAGTTTCGGGAATCATTTTCGTCCCCCATGAAACGAAGAAATGCCATGTAGACAGGGGCCATGCCAAGCTGGAATGCTTCAAAATGAAGGCAGAAATACTGCCCAAAACAGTGAAATACCTAAAGAAACAAGCACCAGTCAAAGATTACCCAAACAGTCACATCGCTTTCTAGCAGCAACAGCAAAATATCAGTATGGAAACGTTCAAAACAACTTTGAAGGTTCAACATAGTGAGTCATGAAAATATAAATTCAAACACGATTTAATAATCCTACATTTTTTAAATCTCTTGCAGCTACTCTAGGAATTATAAAAATGAATTGAATTTCGGAGGTGATAAGGCCATCAGGTACAATATCAGCTGGGGAATAATTCAATATATAATCTTGACAAGATAAGAATTCAATACTTCCCTAAATGTCCATGTATGATTGATCATAAACCTTCAAAAAAAAATCCAATTAAAAATAAAATGCTTAAATGTCAGGAATAACATAATCAACTCAAGAATGTAGCAAAGTTCATCAAACCCTAAAAGCCAATAATGTACTAAAATACTCTATTGATACTCTCGTCCATGAGCAAAAATATACCATTAGCTATCATAACCCAACTCCTCCACAATTACGATATAAATATTTAAATTATAATAACGAATCAAACCTATGGAAGCTGATAAAGTAGAAGTACAAGTTTCATGACTCCATGTGTTTCAACTATCATTGGCCAAACTTCTGTGTATCTAAAGCTAAGCCATCTGACTCATAGGAAAAATAAAGTTGGAGCCTTGGCAGCACATAATATGATGTGAAGAATCAATCAGAAAAGACAGAAATACAATATTTTTACAACTACAGAGCCAAAACATAATCCAAAAACACAAGAAAATACAGAACTTACTGTTAGCATCCATGTAGCATTTTCAACTTCACGGGGATTTGATTTTACATAGCGGTGATTGAACGTACATCCTGTGTGCATGTCCACTTTGTGTTCATCTCTCAAATGGGCAACCAAAAGAGGGATGTCTCCAGTAACGGAGCACTCAGATCCAGCATATGGACAATTGTAAGGCCTGAAATTGCAAACTGCCTCATGTTTAAGTTTGCTATAATAAGGATATATTTCTGAACATCCCAAAAAATAGTACTTGCAGGGCAGTTCAAGAGACTCAGCAACCTTCTCTAGTGCTAAGCACCTAATATCTCCAAGTTCTTGTCTGCAAGTAGGACATCGATTATGAACCCTCATCTTACAGGTTGAACAGAGAGTGTGTCCATTATGACACTGCAAAATAAGGTAATCAATCAATAACTGCTTATCCTACACGAGTCATAGGAATTCAGAGCATGTTTGCTAAGGTAAAACATATGTAAAAAAGTTACATTTTGTTTCCAAACTTGGATAACTTCCTTTCTCCTTGCTCTTAAAAAGAAGTAATTATTCTAAGACTAATGCACTGTCAAGTAAGTATCTTACTTATTTACAATTTTGACCAATGCATAAAATATTTATCATTAACTTATTTCCTTGCTAATATGTAAATTTATTTTAAAGTGAACTTCTTAACCTTAGCCATACTATATAATTTTACAGCACCAGACTCTGGACAATTTTCTTTCGTCGGAGAATTTATTTGCAGCAAAAGAGAATAACACGAAGGATATTTGCGGACTTATAAGATAATGTCAAATGATAACAAAGAGATTAGACAAGAAGTCCACCACTTTAATTATATATTGTTTGCATCTTTATTTAATGTGGATTTATCCATTAACAAATAGAAATCCCCCAATTTAATTCACCAAATAATCAGGATTATCCTAGAAGGTTATCAAGTGATTAAGTTAAAAAATCTATACATAAAGTGGCCAGACTACAGATTCCGCATATAATTCACATCAATGATGAAGATTTCCTTATGTTAGTTTTCCTAAAGAAAGCACTATGGTTAATTATAACGAACTATAGGGGGTTGATGAGAACTAGAAACTTTAATTATATTCCACTCAGAGCAATCAATTCGTAGAAAGAAATAATGACACGCAAGATTTATAAAAATTTGTCATGATGTGATATTACGTCTTTTTCCGCAGCTGTAATAATTCACTCTAATGAAAAAAGTTTACAAAAAAAAATCACACACACTATCTTATATAACCTCTCTCTTTTTATAAGACAAAAAATAATAGCTCCCTATTTATAAGATAAATTATGGCAAAATTGAAATTTACAAAGACTCAAATACCTAAACTAAAGAATCAAATTCCTAAACTATCCTCAATAAAATTTTTGTTTTGGGCACCCAGGAAGGGAGGGGGGGGTGCTCCTGCCCCCTTCCAACCCAACGACAACCTCACCGTGAAGGTCGATCCGCATACTGACTCCATACGCCGATAATAATTAGAGTCCACAACTTAACAGTTGATTTGCACATTCCACTACATAATATCTTATTATTACCAGAGACGTATTTACCATGGACATTTATAATTCTGCTCATCAACTCACTTTCTCTTCAAAGTTACCATCCCGGCGAGTTCCCTACTAATAAATGTCCAAAGCCAAGTCACAACTAGGGTTCTTCAGTCACCAAGAGGATCTCAGCTTATAATATTTTGATAAATAAACAATGCACAATCCGTTATAGCGCATTTTTTATATGTTTTCCCAACTTATCAACATGTCAATTAGGGCAACTTTTGCTATGTTGCATCAACAACTTAAAAGCTAAAATTTGCTAATGTCTATTGCATTCAAAGATCAGAGAACATGGATTCTAACATTTAACTTACGCAGCCCTTAAAACCCAAGAAAGAATCTATAGTCAAAGCCAAACAATCAAATTCAAATGAAAAATGATCTTAAACACGGTTGAACTGAAACAGTGCCCCAAATCTCCAAACCTCCATTGCCAGTTCCCTAACCACTACATAACAATTGCAACATGTACGTAAACTTACATCCATACAATAATATAAAGCTACGTATCATCTGAGTTAATAAGACCAGTCAGGGGAAAACACAAGAAATTAGAGAGAGAGAGAGAGAGAGAGAGAGAGACCTGATGGATTGGTGGGTACATAGAATTGGTGCAAACAGGGCATTCAAGCAATTCATGGACGCTTGTGGGGCCAATTCCAGAAAGCACCACATTATGAGGCTTTGAAGAATGCTGGTTAATATTATTATTATTTTGGATCACTTCATCTTCAATGCCTTCTGATGAAGGCACATATTCCACATTTTCCATTTCAGTTGTTTCCATTTGGAGCCCACTTTCAAATATCCAGTCCATGGCAGAAATCTCAGTTGCCCAATTCCAGAATCCAATTTCTCTACAAAGTGAAAGAAAAATCCTATCTTTTGAAGAAACCTCTGATCCTAAAATCAATTGAGAGAAGAAAAAAAAAATCTAATATTTTGCAGAAATGTCAACAACCCAATTCCGAAAATTGAATCTTTCTTCCTAAAATCCAATTTTTTGTAGAAAAAATGAGATACCCACCAGGCAAAATTCAATCTTTTGCCCAAATCTCGACTACCCACTACCAAAATGCAATCTATTGTAAAAATATCAGATTCCCAGTTTGGAAAAATTAACCTTTCGCAGAAATCTGTGCTGCCAATTCTGAAAAGTTCTATCTGTCTTCGATCTATAGGCCTCTGTTTTCAGTTTCCTCATTTTTTCCTTCACTTTCTTTGTTTCTTCTTTGACAGAGATTGATTTGAGAGAAGAAATCCAATGAAACTAAAAGAAAATGAAAGTGAGAGAAATCGAAACGGTTCGATTCAAAACAATTAAACAGTCTCTCTCCCCAATATAGATGTTCACTTCCCCAGTTCCCCTCTCCCCCGCCCCTCTCTCTCTCTCTGGTTTCTTAGAGGAGGGAGACATTGCGATAGCCGTTGATTATGTAGATAATTGAAGTACGATCCAACGGTTGGTAGACTTATTTCGTTGTTATTTGTTGGTTGAGAATGTACGATTTTGGTTTATTTTGTCGTCAGAATTTCTGGTTGATGAAATAGGCTGCCTTTTGGGTGAGTTGTTGAAAAGGTTTGAACTCAAGATTCTAACTTCTCATATTTCAAAATTTTCAATTAAATTAAATTTTATTTATGGAATAACTATCATTTTTTATGGACAATCCATTAATGAAACATCATAGTATACAAAAGTTTTACATTCAAATCTCGTTGTAAGTCAATTATAAAGATTACAAGCTTTGAAATGAATGTACTTAAATATCAATAACGTGATGAGTAAATCGATTTCTCGTCTATTAATTTAAATTTTAAATAAGTAGGTTAAAAATACTAAATTTTCTGTCGATATTTAATAATGTAGGAAACACAAGTGGTTTGCAATCATTTAAAGCAAGTAGTTTTGGTGAACTAAAGAGACTCCAACTGCCATTAGGGACAAGTTTGATTCAAGATAGTGACATTTTATATTCTTGGTTTTGGTGGGAATGAAAATTAGATTTTTTAGTAACTTGTGATAGAAATTTTTGAAACGTATGGTCGAAAAGTTGTGGAATCATGAAAGATATAATTAATATTGATTGTTTGATTTTGACTTTGACTTAAATTAAAATCATATTTTAATTTAAACCAAACAGGCTTGTTACGACAAATCTTGTTACTTTTGTCATCCAATTTCTGCTATTTTACTATAAGTAGTACGGTTTGATTTGGTCTAATTTCGAAGAAAATCTAACCAAACTAAGAATCCAAGTGAATCTTATAAATAAAACTATTGATTTTCATTTTATCCTTGCACAATAAATAAAACTATTGATTTTCATTTTATCCTCACACAACTCCTACAATTTACATGCTATTTGTACAAATTAGGTTGATAAACTTGATTTACAAACTATGTGTTGGTAACATCTAAACCAATCATTTCAAAAATAGTTTTTGAAATCAATGATATAGATCTTACTAACACTTAGAGTATGTTTGATTGACATGAAAAATATTATCTTGAAATGAAAATGTTTTCCTTCTTTTGTGGAAAATAAAAACCACCTCTACCCGAGGAAAATGTTTTCCTCAAAAATAAGGAAAATTGGGCATATTTTTAAAAGTTGGAAAATGTTTTCCATGAAAAAAATAGCAATCAAATACCTCAAGTAGGAATTTGGATAGAAAGCTGATATTTTACATGGAAAATAAATGTAATCAAACACAACCTCAGTTATTAAACAAACTTCGTACAAGTAGATTAATTCTTTTAAAAAATCTACTGTGAATTTCAACAAGATCAATTAATTCTTCTCCAAAAAACAAGTGTGCACTCGATACTCGATGGGCTTAAAATGGATAATTCTTCCATATGGTTAGTGCATTACACCAGACTCCATATTTTAAATAAATAAATAAACAAAAGTTTGGTTCATTAGGAATTTTAGCTACAAGTACTAGAATCGAAAATGAACTATCGAAACTTGATTCTAGCGCTTTAAGCTGTTTAAAGCTGAAGCAGAAAGAATCCGATTCGATTCTGTACTTTGTTTACCACTAACTTTTGAGTTAAAAGCAACTTGTGACAGAAAATATTATTATTAATTTTTTGAGACTTTTGGTTGCATTATTGTAACTAGAAAAATTGAAATGCTGCAAGTTCCTCAATATAAATATCATTCCACCAAAAAAATTGATCGATCAATTCCAAGGAAAATGACATTGAAGTTCAAAACTCCTTTTCAAGGCTAACCATTTCCATTACAAAAGTTACATTTTTCAATTAAAGTTACATTCCTGTATAAATTAACTCTGAGAAAACCTCACAAATTATTAGTGATGAGAATTCACAGATTGTGAAAAGCATAAAAGCAGTACCAATAATGCATATACTAGAATTTGCTAATCCCGTCTCACTAGAAATTGGATTACAGAGAAACATGTGCAACTGCAAGTCGAAGATGGATTAATTAACATTTCATCAAGTGCATGTTTGGTAAGCACTATTAGACACGACTTTGAAACATAAATGAACATGGTTTTTTGTTTTTTTTGATTCCTAGTGTCCAGCGCAATACAGTCTTCAATACCAAACATGCCATAAAATGCTTCTGAGATCTGTCCCCTCTGGTGCTGATGCTGGTTGCACACAGTTAGGCTCCACGAAATTATCTGGGCGTATCTACACGTCCGGGCGGATAACAAGGCTGCAAATGTGGGGGAATCACAAATTAGTCTTCAGTCACAAAAAAAAGGGGGGGGGGGGGGGGGGAAAAAAAAAAAGGGGAAAAAAAATTTAATATCAATCAAGAGCATTCTCAATAAGCTAGACAGTGAATTAGCTTTTGGCAACACAGCTATCAAGTTATAGAATGCATAAAAAGCAGAAGCTACATAAAAATCAGGAGCTTTCGTAGATTGCTAAAATATGCTTAAGGCATTACCGGAGCTGCATATGATGAGCTATCAGCAAGGAACTGGACAAACTCTCGCTTCTTTGTTTCGAAGTTGAACTTTGCATGGTCTACTAGTGTCTGCTCTCTATGTATATCTTCCAATGTTCTGTCCTTCTTCCATCTGGTCTCCTTCATTCGTTTTTCAGTTTCAAAATAGTTCTCCGGTAGGTTCAACCTTTCAGAGCTTTTAGGGAATTTGACATCTACAGCTCCCCTGGAATCAGATAATTTAAGGTGAAACATTAACCCAAGGGAGAAGGTAAAATGAACAGAGTCATTGAAATGTTGACACTAAAACAATGATACAGCATAAATGCTTAAAATTACTTCAGACCAAGGGGAGGAAAGCTAGGCATCTTTCCTATCTATTGTGTCAAATGACTAAAAGAAAATTTTAGATATATTTTGATGACAGTGTAGCTATCAGAGAGATACTAATAAATAGTGTGTGTAGGCCAAACTACTTACTTATGACCCAAGGAGAAGCATCCAGTGCTTTTAATCATCCCACCATCTAGAGATATTGCTCCATTCGCAATACAAGGAAGAGCCTTTAGCATGTCTTCCCTTGATCTGTATACTTGCAAATTCGAGAAGAGATTATAAAATAGTGTTTCTCTTAGGCCGTGCCCAGTGTTGGAAATAGAATATAAGTTTGTGATGTCAATTCTGATCATATTCACAGGGAAACCAAGAAAGCCAGGTGGAGTTTCCCCATTGGGTAATCTTGGCTTTAGAAGATCAAGCCTCTTTTGAGGGTCATCAGCTATATACTTCCCTGCATATGGTCTAGACAAACATCCACAACAGTGAGATTAAAACAAAGGTAATTTTCAAAGGGGAAATATAAACTGATCAAACCACAAAATAACCACCTCTTATAGAGTACATACCTTAGATGTTCAAGACAAATGACAAGAAATGGATCATCAAGGGGCCTACCAATAGAAGCTCCAACTGCATGAAGGCCGCAACTTTTATTTATTAAACCTTCTCTGTCATATGCCTCAAGAGCTTTAACGCCTTCGTAGGTATTGCAGACTATGGCTAACATAGTTTCTAGCCCCAAATAATGTGAAAGAAGCCTAAGACCCAAAAATTGACAATAAACATGTCAGCAATATGAAGAATAATTGCCAGGATTTTCACCTCTCTTTCTAAATTGATAGTCTTTCATCCTTCATCCACAAACTGGTGAATTAATTCGAAGTGTAGTTATTAAAAAATAAAAAAAAAGCATATTAGCTGTGCTATGTACAGGCATTAAATAGAAGCTAAAAATTGTTCATATTTCAGAAAATTTAACCGACTCTGCACGTACAGTACTACACCTGGGCTCATTTAGTGCGGGTACCTTTTTATAAAGAAGAATTGATGCGTCACTCAAAGTAATATTGCTCGTTATTTATTTTTATGTATTTTCTGAATTAGTTTCCAAGAGATAGATGGGAGTAGACCTTTAATTTGAGATTAAGCTGCACATGGTCTTAACCAAGACGAAAAGCATAAACAAAAAAGAAACATCAGAGTACTTTTGGCTATGATTAATTAACATGACCCAACTTCAATAATTATTTAATTCTTCTGTCAAGTTATTTTGGCTACGATTAACATTTTCCTCATTCTCTAAATTTCTAATCAACAAAATTTATAACAGATCAAAGTACATGGCCTCACTTAACCAATTTCCTTCTCATTTTTATCGAGGAGAAGGAAAGAAAAAAAGAATGTAGAATGATCACTCCACGGATGATAAAATGAAAAGTAAAAAGATGAAAGTTCCTCTGTTTTTCTAAATATTTCTGTGAGTGAAGAAAAGTTGAATCGTATATTATATGTAAACACAATAATTGATTGCAGAAACCTGTATCTACTTGTGATTAAGCATCACATGTCACTGGAAAACACACTGAGAACCATTTATATACACAAACTTCTACAACAATAATCAATTTTAGATGCCGAATGATTCAAAAGACTAAGTTATACACATGCAGCTCACATTACGGCGCAGCAATCCAATTCATATTTAAACTAAAATGTAAGTCAACAAAAAATTTTCCAGGAGAAGGGGAAAAGGCAAAAACACGAACAATAGAATTGAAACCAACCTGCTAAGGTTGTCATCATCAACTTTTCCTAGTGTAGCAACAACACCGAGCACATCTTTTGTCAATTGAATATCAGAAGCCTGAGTTTCATGTTGAATTTTCAACTGATAGAGAATGGCAGCTGCTGATTTCTCGTGCCTAAGAATATGCTCAACCGTTTCTGCCTCGGTCTTCAGCTGGGCAGGTTCCTCATTTTCCATCATGGAGGAACTTGCTGAATGATATTTTCCGAGGGAAACTAGAAGAACATGGTAGTAGAGAAGAAAGTCAAAAGAGAGACGAAATGGTAGCAAAACTGGAAAAGGAACTAAGGATGTGAGTTGAAGGCATAATAGCAGCTTTGCCATTGTAAGCTCAGAAATTTACTGAAAATCGACATCTTGACCTCTTCCTATATGAAACAGTGAAGCAACAATTACTTCATTTTAATTATGTATAAACTCCACCAATGCAAAATGTAATACCAAAATATGTTATCTTCAACTCTCCTTTTGCAAATTGTGAGTAGTATGTTCACATCATCAATAAGACTAAATAGAATTTGGAACATAGATACCTTGCATATCTAGAATTGAGTCCCCCAATCGGTTTTTCAGGGTCTTCAAGTATTTAAGATTATCTTCATGATACTTAATTTTTTGACCCAGTACCTGTAGATCATCCTGAAGTTTCTGCAAAGAATTATATCAACTCACTTTTAATCTAGTTGTTATTTTTTCCTTCAAGCAACAGACATACATCAGAAAAACTTTAAATGGGACAGGGAAAAGTAATTTTATCATATCTTCAGTTAG